TAGACTCTTCTGGCCCTTCAAGGTCATATGCTCCTTGTCGGTGCTAGTGGGGTTGGTAAAACTGTCCTATCAAAGTTCGTCAGCTGGATGAACGGCCTCTCTGTCTATCAGCTCAAGGTAGGAGTACTTCACTCTGTATTCAACGAAAGGTGTTGCTCTATCATCAGACCGGTAAGTCATATGATATCCACTCTTTCGAGGCTGACCTTCGGCATGTTATGAAGCGTGCTGGGGTGAAAGGAGAGAGAATATGCTTCATCTTCGATGAGTCTAACGTCCTCGGCCCAGCTTTCCTCGAGAGGATGAATGCTTTACTTGCTGGTGGAGAGGTGATTGCAATCTTGCCACCGACCCATAGCCCTGTTGGTACCTTGCCTAGGTCCCTGGTCTATTCGAAGGCGACGAGTATAACAACTTGATCCAGGAGTGCCGTACCAGTAACGAGACCGCCACTACAGCGGACGCCAACGAGCTATTCTCTAACTTTACGAAAGAGGTCTGGACGATGCTAATGATGCTCAGCGAGCTGTTGTCAGCATTCGGTCCCATTTGAGTGCGAGTACCGTAGTAGCTATGTCATCTAGGTACAGAGGAATCTGCACATAGTGTTCACAATGAATCCGGCCAACCCGGACTTCCACAATCGTAAAGCGACATCACCTGCTCTTTTCAACCGATGTGTTGTTAACTGGGTTGGGGACTGGCCGACGGATGCCCTACTACAGGTGGAGCACTGCAGAGTTTTGGAGTATCTCAGGAGGGGCATCTTTCAGATCGCCAATGATTCCCTCATGCGACTAGACCTATCCGGGCACTGTTTCAAGTCGGATACTAGTGAGGGAGGGCATAAGGCTGTGATGGACGCGGAAGAGCGAGTGAGACACGGCCATACGACAATCATTGACTACAACAACCACTCGCCCCATAGGCTATCTCAGTGGCCACTAGTATGGTCTGCATTCATGAGAGTGTGATGAAGCTTCATGATTCATTGCGAGCGCTCAACAAGCGCTTTGCCTATGTAACACCAAGGGACTACATGGATTTCCTGAGGCATTTTGAGGAGCTCTATACGACTAAACGGGCTGAGTGGGCAGAGCAACAACGACATTTGAATCTTGGTCTTGAGAAGCTACATCAGACAGGGCAGCAGGTGGCAGAAATGAAGGTACATAAGGGAACTGCTCGGTGTAGAGACTGTTGCTCCTTTGTAGACCCAGTTGTCGAGTAAAACGGAATTACTAGCGGAGAAGAACAAGCTTGCTGAGGCTAAGATGGCACAGATGATCAAAGGGCAGAGTGAAGCAGAGCAAAAGAAGAGGGAGAGCCAGTCTTTGCGGGAGAAGCTGAACAAAGATCACCAACTCGTAGGACACGTTATCACCATCGTCATAGGAATCTATTCTGGCGGCCTTATAGGCTGCCTCACGTCAAGAGGAGGTTGCCAGAGAATTGGCTGAGGTCGAACCCGCTCTCAACCATGCTAGGCAGTTGGTACAGTCAATACAACGGAAGCAAGTCGACGAGATGAGGTCCTTACCGAATCCTCCCGCACCAGTCAAGATCACTCTCGAGGCTGTCGTATGCTTGATAAGGTCATACCTCATCGTGTTTGATAATCAATCATACAACACAGGAACTATGGTCCCGGTGTGGAGCTCACTTGGGACCACATTCGTAAGGAGCTCAAAGATCCACAGCTTATGGTAACAGTACTCCAATTCAACACTGATGCATTGAGCGTCGCTGCTAGGGAGCGTGTGGAGGGGTAAGTGGTCATGATGGTCTGAAGTAGAGCAGGCTACACTTTATTAGTAGGTATCTAAAGTCTTCGGCCTGGGACATGGACCGTATAGAGCGTGCCTCTAGAGCTGCAGGGCCCTTGGCCCAGTGGGTAACGAGTCAGATCAGCTACGGCAAGATGCTACAGAGTATTGGTCCTCTGAGGGCAGAGGTGGCAGAGCTTGAGACGCAACAAAAGGTATAACTTGGTGATGTATATGGAATAACACTATTGTGTAGGCTAGCAACGAGAAGCTTCGGGCAAATAGTGAGCTCCTTGAAAAGCTAGAGAAGGAGATAGGGCAGTATAAGGATGAGTATGCTCAATTGATAAGCGAGGGCCAGAGTATACGTACCGAGATGGAGGAGGTCTCTGCAATGTGCAAGAGGTAATACTGAGATACTACTAATAAGAGGGCTGCTTATCAATCGTTGTAGGTCATCTGATCTCTTGGCATCGTTGGCATCGGAGAAGGAACGTTGGGAGGTGCAGAAGGATACCTACAAATCCCAATCGGGTATAGCATACGTTTTTGAGGTATCAAGTTAACAGCCCGTATTGTCAGGAACAATAATAGGAGATACTGTTATGGGTGCAGCTTTCTGTACATATAGTGGCTTCTGTGAACATGCTCATCGTGAACAATTGCACGCAGAGTGGCGTCGCATATTTGACTCGACCAAGAATGGTCCTAAGGTATTGGGCCTTGTATATCGTATTGCCAAACTCAACCTCATTAGATAAACAATAGTCTATCTCTAATCGAGTATCTATCCAAGCCAGGACAGCGTCTAGCCTGGGTTGCCAACCAGCTGCCTAATGATGATCTATCTATTCAGAATGCTATCATCATTGACAGGTAGTAGGCATATTAATATTGCCCATCTGTGCCTGCTCACTAGATACATACGTTATCCGATGATTGTGGACCCATCTGGACAGGCTGTTACCTTCCTACAGAATGAGCATGCACTCACTTCCTCGAGGTCTCAAGGGAAACTCAAGGTCACGGCATTCACTGACCCAGCCTTCACCAAGCATCTCGAAGCAGCCCTACGCTTTGGCACTGTCCTGCTCTTCACTGATGTACAGAAGGTCGACCCAATCCTCAACTCAGTAAGGGGATGGCCAACAACACAATGGAGTCTTCCTGATGATGCGTGTTATGAATAGGTCCTTAACAGAGAGATATTCAAGAAGGGAGGTCGTACACTCATCACTGTTGGTGATGTGGATATTGACTACTCTCCGAACTTCGCAATGTAGTAGTGCTCTACCTCTCTATTAAGTAAGATAGTCTGCTCTTGCAAGGTATATGACTACGAGGGATGCTTCCCTTACCTTTACTCCTGATGTGGCATCTAGAGTAACGATGGTTAACTTCAACGTTACTAAGGAGTCCCTTCAAGCACAGTGTCTACATGCTCTACTCAAGACTGAGAGACCTGATGTTGAGGAGAAGCGAGTGAAGGCTCTCAAGCTGCAAGGGGAGTTTAGGGTAATTATTCTACTCGGTTTGCCGTGAGCCCGGCCCTCAAGGTACGAATACGCGAGCTGGAGGACGGCCTCCTGCACGCCCTATCTAACGTTACTGGTAGTATACTAGAAGACGAGGCTATTGTATCCACACTTGAGACACTCAAATGTGAAGCGGCTGAGGTGTGGATGTTTTCATGTGGACCTTGGGTGTATCTTTGATGTTAGGTTGCAGAGGAGGCAGGCAAAGCAGATGAGAACTTGCGGGAGATCGAGGCGGTGTCTTCGGCATATATCCCTCTGTCGGCATCAGCTGCTAACCTCTTCTTCGTGGTCCAAGGCCTCAAGGCTCTCAACAATCTCTATCAGTTCGGCTTAGTCCGGTATCTGGAATTATACAACGTGGTGCTTCAACATTCTTCAAGGTCTGCAGATAGTACTACATCTGCTGCCTCCTCACGGTTATGGAGTATATGGCAGTGCTTGGTTAAGCTGGTATATGACTATGTCGGCTCTGGCCTATTAGCCGCTGATCGTCTTATTTTCCTATTACGTGTTGCTGAGATTGGTAATGCTATGGTAAAATCTTCTTCTCCACCACCCTCCCAATATATGCAACTACTCACCATGCACGATGAACAGAAGGGTGATGGGGAGCCATTATCCCCATTGAAATGCGTGGAGGCTCTCAATATCAGCCAGGATCAGAAGGATCTTATCACTCGGCTCGTCTCTACTGCAGTCTCCACAGGGGCTTCTTCGTTCGCTTCCGCACTACAATCGAGTCTAAAGGCCCATCCACAGGAGTGGGCAGCATTCTTGACTGTCACTAACAGTACAGCTATTATCCCACAAGGATGCCATCATTCAGGGGATTCAGTATTAGTCTCTCTGGAGAACGTTATTATATCGAGATGGATGCGACCCGATCTAGCAGAAGAATATCTAGAACGCTATGCTGAGGGGTTACTAGGCTTGGACAAGCCACTCACTCCCTTCAATGCTCCATCCTTACAAGATTCGATCACATCTCGTTCGATGATGGTAGGCCCAGTCCGGCTTTCCTGCTACTACTCCTGCATCTCTTCCGCTTTCAGCCCAACACTACGCTTTATATACTGGCCTGTACTCCTGGCTTTGACCCATCTCTGCGTATCGTTGATCTAGCTGAGAGACTAGGAGTCCAGTTGGAGATCGTGGCCATGGGGTCTCCAGAGGGATATTCTCTAGCTGATCGAGCCGTAGCAGCGGTTACGAAGCAACAGGTGGGATGACTACGATACTGCTAGTTGGAGTCTCAGTTTGTCAGGGTCGCTGGGCTTTGCTTACTAATATGCATCTCTGCCTACCATACTTCCGCACTCTAGATAGGAAACTTCCAACTCATCCTCAAGGCAACTTCAAGCTCTTCATCACGCTTGATATTGAGGCATGCTCTGGGCAAGCTCTACCGGATACCCTCATGAAGTCGGCCCGGATATTGATGTTCGAGGCGCCTACTGGTGTTAGACCATCACTTCAGAGAAGCTACGCAGAGGTAATTGGGCACTACCCATATTATGGATGGTAGGGAGCCAATAACACTCAGGTACTACTACCAGCGCGTGTCCAGAGGGGGCCAGTAGAACGGAACCGATTACACTTCCTCCTGGCCTGGCTACATGCCATTGTATTGGAAAGGGTGAGGTAATATGAATGGTTCTCGGGCATGTGTGGCGGGTTGCTCTTAACAGCTTATTATAGGTACGCTCCTGTTGGATGGACCAAGGAGTTCGATTTTTCAGAGGCTGATCTATCTTGTGCAGTTGAATTGACTGATAAGTAGTAGTGGCAACTACGGCATCATGGGTATAACACTCCCTACAGATGGTTAGATGAGGCGCTTGAAGCATCATCGTCATCAGAAGGCAATCCAACTAAGCGGAGGCTCATCAATATCGATCCGGCTAAGATACCATGGGAGGCTATAAGGACCACCCTCATCGATGTGGTGTAATATAAGGATTGTCCTCCTCACTCCTGCTGCTGCTGCCCTCGATTATAGCTTCTAAGGTATGGTGGACGGTTGGACAATGATACAGACCGTGAGGCTCTAACATCAATCGTGGAGTATCTCTTCTCACCAAAGGCTTATCATAAGGATTTCTTACTCAATCCTGGTGCTGTGGATGGTGATGGGGTAAGTCGGTTACATGTTGAGCGATATGAAGATATCAAGCCCCCCTCTGACGAGCAGGTACTTCTTCGTGTACCAGATGCTCGTAAACGAGAGGACTTCCTAACCGTCATCGACACCTTATTCACAGGCAAACCCACACCTCAATGGGTTGGGCTCCAGCCTGAGGTGGAGAATTACTTAAAGGCCCGGAGAGCTGGTAGATGCCTGGCTATGTGGTTGCAACTCCGATCGTGATGGTATCTCTCGTGGGAGGGCCGTCGCTAACTTCTCCTTTTAATTAGCTATTATTACCTACATCACTCCATGAAGTTTCCCTTGAGAGAATAGGCTTTAGTTGGGCAGCGAGATAAGCTTTGGTTTGTTCAGTTTTGACGTTGACTTCTCTATGAGGTTTGGTCGAAAGCTAGCTTTAGCCCTTCAGAACGATACAGAAGATGCTCCGTTCATCTCCCATAAGCATTTGAAGGAGATACTCAGCCGGCAGGTTCGTGAGATACGCTCCCTGAATGACATGGCCAATAAGGAATCCCAGGAGGCTAAGTCAAGCAAAGAGGTCGGGAGCTGGTGCTGTGGATGCTCATACTATGCTTCTACCGCAGACCATCAGAGTTATGGACAGTCATTTCTTTGCTACGATGGACTCTGACGTAGAGGCTATGCTTGCCTACATTGGCACCAAACAAGAGGGTCTGGCCCGTAGTGTTGCAGCTCTTGTGGTTAGAGCTCAACAAGCTGGCTTGATCGATCAAGACAATCAACCACCTAATGGGATGCTCAATTCCACATTGACCCAGGTAATAAGGTTGAAGTTAATGTTGATGATGAGGACAATTATCATCTTAGGTATGCGTTGTGATGTCTCAACTTGGGAGTCTACTGAGCGGGTATTTAGTACAGTGCGCCGCCTACTCCCAACTAACTATGATTCTGTCTGGATCGTTATCCCTGGGGATGGATATGGCACGTGAATTAGAAACTGTCACAGAAGAAGCTAATAAACTCCTAGCCTATATTGACATTAACGTAGCTGGTATGAGGAAGCTACTCAAACAGCATGATAAACAGGTAGTCTTCAATGCGGCATTCAACTACAGAAACGATGCATCAGATACCTGTTGAATACCAAAAACGGCCTATTGGATCGGCACCATACACCAGTCATCATAGACTCCTGACTGATGGTGTATTGAGAGCTGTTACTGAGTTGAACAAGGTCCGAACTTCTATTCAGGGCCTCTTTCAGGTAACGATAACGAGCTCTTCTCCACAACCTAATCAGTATCCTTATAGGTTCTCCAAGCTGTGAATGCCCCTGGACTAGAGCAGTTGGGTTCTCTACCTCCTCTGGCTGAAGTTCATTTGGGTTCTGAATGTGAACTCGTGTTGGGTCTACGAGCTAAGATACTCCTTTCGAGACAGTCGCCATCTACAGCAACCCCGTCCCCTCTTGCGTCCCCACCACCTTATTCGTCGCCTATGGGTATGACCCCGGGGAAGGTAGGGCTTGACGATGCAATCAAGTCTGTATTCCATTAAGTGATTGCAACTACGACGACGAGGATGGAGGGCACCAGCATCATTGCCACCCTCTTATCCTCAACTAGTTGCAGCGATGTCGCATTATCATCATTTCGTAGAGTTTCCCTTTGGAAATAGAGTTTGGTTGGACAGTTAGGTTCGAGGAGTTCGGGGTTCCCTTTCTCCGTCTTCACCTGCATGTCTCTTTTGGGAAATTTGCAACCTTAGATTCTCACTCGCCCAGATTAGATTCTAACTTAAGGTAGCAACGCCCGACGAGCAATTTGGGGCGCACGCAGTTACCGCCAAAAATGTTAAATTGTACATTACTACGCTCCGCCAAAATCAATGATGGTCCTCGCACCGCGCGAGCACGATTCCAGGCGGATTGAATTCTACAGCGTTTTTTCTTGACTTGCGATTTTCCGATTGGAAGCGCTTGAACAGGCCTCATGCACTGGATGCATCGAGGGTGGTCCAACCTCACGCATTAGATCAATCTAAAATGTCTCCGATGAACTTGCTTCGTTCCTACTCACGACCTAATTTATCGTCGTTCTCAAGGTTAGTCTCCTCAACTTGAGGCTGAGATAATTGTGAACTTAGAGGTTTCTCAAGTTTGCGACATGAGGGTTCTAACCTTAAGATTTGTCATCCTTAAGGGGTTGGTGGAAGAGGGCCTATGTGGTGAAGTCTCCGGATTGAGCCTAGCACGCAACCTCATCTTTGCACACGCAGGCACAGCCCATCGGCCGAGGTTCATACGATCAGCTCATCGTTTCCGCGCAAGTTCTACTCCTGGGGACCGCAAGTAACTTGTGACCGTGTCCAATCGAATTTCCGAAGTGTCTCCATTGCTGTTGTATACCTCATCATCGTTCCTCGTCCTTTTTCGTGATTGAGGTGGTAGTTATGAGATGAACACCAAATATCTTCCGTAGTAACTGTTGGGGCCTACATCGCTGTTGGGCTGTCGAGCAACACCATCAGGGGTTAGTCCAGCAGTATTGTGACGGGGGAGTCTTTTGTATTCCAACATCAGTTGATTTGCCTTACGATTCTTGAGGAATAATGGAGTCGTACATGCAGAAGACAGTAGACTCTATACGGCGATACTTGAGGATAGGCAATGCATCAAGAGCTGACAAGAGGACCCAGCAACAGTATAGGACTGTCATTATTGGTAGTATACCGTTCCTTCACTGGAAATCCCCCCGTGAGGTGGTCTTTGCTATATAGGTACCGCTTGTCACACGTATAGTGGCAATTCTGTATCGACTAGACGCTACAGCTGGTGGACATTTGGGCCTTTATCACTATTATTTCAGTTTAGGCGTCTGGCCAACTGCTACTTCCTATTTGCAGCTATCATAGTGAGTCTTCCGGATGTCGGATCACTCAATCCTATAGCAGCAATACTGCCTCTAGCTTTTGTACTACTGGTATCAATTGCCCGTGAATTCGTAGAGGAGTGGATGGCATATAAAAGAGATAAGGAGACAAACGCTGAGTTGACGAGGAGGGTTACTGCACAAGGGACAATAGAGAAGATAGAATGGGCACATCTGTTTCCTGGTGATATCATAATGGTGCGGGAGTCAGAGCCCCTACCAGCTGATATGATATTACTATCATCATCCCATGGTGCCGATCCTAAGAAGGGTTGTGTAGCGTACATGGAGACCAGTAATCTTGACGGGGAAACTAACCTCAAGACTAGGCAAGCGCCCAAGCTGGTATCGGATATCACATCTGGCAAGAAGACCAAGAGATCTGAGTCATCTCAATTACTACGGCAGTCATCTCATTCAACTAGGGACACCCAACAACGTGGTGAACGAAGGTCTCAGGCAAGGAATTGTGAATAAGGCCGAATAGGTTCAGTCCTCCTGTCTCGGCTCAGGTGGAGATTGCTTCTCCAGACAAGCATACTGATGATGATGAGGGTGGCGATCTGTCGATCGAGCGCCAATCCACTAGATTCATAGCGAGGATGGAGCCTCTAGCGGCTTTGGTTGATACCATGACAATGCAATTCGAAGCTCCTACGGCTGATTTGTTGAAGTATGCAGCTCTTCTTAGTATTGACTATCTATGTATAATACTTTGTATCAGGTTTAGAGGCTCGATAAGTCCATTGAGTAACACTGAGGATGAGGGTACAATCCAACCTTTGAGCATGGATAACATGTAATGCTCCTCTAGTCCTCCTTAGTAGAGGCATTACCATCCTGCTGCTGCTAGTCCTTATTGCTCTTAGGCTACTCAGAGGCTGCAAGTTGAAGAATACACCCTGGGCTATAGGAGTAGTGGTCTATGCTGGACATGAATCGAGATTCATGATCAGCAATCATGGTAGTAGCGCTGAATACATCAGCTACATGAGCCGATTCCTCTTTCAGGTGGTTTTGCTCCTGCTAAACGCAGCACAGTGGATAGAGCAATGAACAAATACGTCCTAGCCTTGTTCATACTACAGGCTATACTGTGTCTTACAGCTGCTATCGTAGTTGGCACCCATCCCTCCCCAACCTCATCAAATTCTCCATGGTATAGATAGTGCTAGCAGTAATACCATTCACATCCCCTCTCAGGTATCTATCAGGGTTATCAAGTCAGGCGGCTATCATCAACTACTTCAGCTACTTCGTCTTACTGAATAGCCTTATTCCAGTGTCATTGTGGGTATCAGGAGAAGTCCTTCGCGTTGCACAAGCCTTTTTAATGGAATGGGATAATAATTTATATGACTCCGAAAGGTAGTACTATGGGTGCTTGAATATGGCATACACTACCCATAAAGTGTTAACCCAATGATGGTTTCAGGGACTTAAGTCTCCGGTGTAACTCCAAATCCATACATGAGGAACTTGGTATGATTACCCATGTATTCAGTGATAAGACTGGTACTCTTACCTGCAACAAGATGGAGTTTAAAGGAGCAGCTGTTGGGGGCAAGCTCTATGCTACTACAGATGTCTCACCATCTACAACCCTACCGGATGAAGATTCCCATGATAAGGTCAAAAGGGAACCGTCATACAGCTGCTGGCCACCTCCTCCCAAGTTCTCTGGTGTATTACCGTGTTCTGACGAGCTGGTGAGCATGATGAGAAAGGCTTTGGCCAAGGAAGGGAGGGGATCTTCCAACACTTTGCATGAGTTCCTCTTTGCCCTAGCTATCAACCATACGTGCGAGAGGGCACAGCCTCCTGCCATGCCAGATCCGGAATATCATACTGATCCCGATGAAGGTAAAAGTGGGGGATGCCTTAGTGAGGCATTCAAGAAGGCGAAAGGACGGATCAAAGGCAGAGCCAAGTTGGATATCTACGCTGTTCGAGAGGATGGAGATGTTGTGGCCTCTGATGATGATGTTGTTGTTGATGATGATAGACGAAAGAGTGAAGGGGGCATTGAGGCTGTCTACCAAGGGACATCACCCGATGAGAGTGCTTTGGTATCAGCGGCGGGTTACTTTGGCTTGAGGTTTACGGATAGAACACCAGACAGTATCGATATAACTCTACTGCCTGAAGGAGATACAAGACTATGGATCTATTACATGTGGTGGAAT